CCAACAACAGCAATGAGAGAAGTAGTGAAAAAAGAAAAGTCCAAGGACCCCGAGAGAAGGAAGGAAGACTTGAGGAGAGGACGAAAATTGGCAACTCTTCCTCCTTAATAGGATGTCCCACAGCAGTACTAGGACCAGCCGGAACTGGGGAGACAGCGGCAATAACTGTAACAACAGCACCAGCAGGAACAAGAACAGCAGAAAAAGAAGCAAAAACATTTGCTGCAACAACAACAGAAGCAGCATCAAATCAGCTTCAACCACTACAGCTGCCGGACGAGGGTATGAAGGTGGATGAGATGCCACCACCTCGGTCCTCTTCTTTGAAAAGGGAGATGCGTGATGTGCAGGCGGAGGAAGGAAAAATGTGAAAAAATAAAAGACGGCCAGTCGTAGCAGGGCGGAACGATCATAAGACAGGCCGTCACAATCCACCCCTGTTCGCCAGCCAGAAATGACGCAGCTTCCCCTCTTTCCCGGATAGGGCTCTGATTTCCCCCTCCCCACCCTATCACAAAAGAAAAAAAAATCCTTTCCCGAAGGGGGAGATCATCTGACAGGAGCTTGAGAGGGACCTTGCCTCACAGAGGAAGGCCTCTGGGAGGCGAGGTCTCTTTAGACTCCTGTTTAAATGGAACCTGTCATGTTGATAAGGCGCCTGGGGTTATAACATGTAAGGATTGTAGACACAAAAGCCTCGGAATTCATCGCAGCAGCTAAGGACTCCTTTCTGAAGCTACAGATGACTGAGATAGAGTCTTCGGATCTTCGAAAAATGGTTAAAACTTGTTCAGGGAGGGCCCCAGTTTTGATTCACTTCTCACTCTACAAGACCCTGAGGTTAACTTTTTCTACAGACGTTGGCGGGATTGTCACCGACGGACAGATTACATCCGAGCTGGTCACTGGTAGCCTAGTACAAGCCCTCGGGGTCCTCATTCCTATGTAGATTTCCGACCAGTTTGCGTTTAAGGGAACCCGCTTAGAAAATGTCTATCAAGCTAGCCAGCTTGAATGCGAGGGGCTTGAGAGATCTGGGTAAGGCTGCCCGCCTGCTTTGTGATCTCTTGTCTTTCGGAGTAGATGTGGCTGCGATCCAGGAGACACAATTTGTTTGCGACATTGATGCTTGTGTGTTGTCTAGCGACTTTGTTGTCTATTCAACATATGGGGATGGGGAAAGCTGACCAGAGGTGTTTCCTTGTTAGTAAAACGTTCCCTGGATGCAAGGATGTACCTTGTCCCTGTCGATGCGGGGCCCAATTTTCAATCTTTGCGGTTTATGTGCCTGAATGATCAGACGGAGCGTGTATCCTTTTTTCCGGGATTTGAGGCCGTTCTTGGTGGATTCGTTGCGCTTAGCCTTAATGGGAAAATTGGATGCCATCTTGAACCCCAAGACAGACAGGTCGATCTGATCGGCGTTTGGGTCAATCATTCTGGGCGGGAGATGTGGGCGTGGGCTCTTAAGTGGTCGTCTAACCGGGTAGCCAGTTACCTGGATAGAATGTTAGTGAAAAGTGTCGATCTAGAGTTGCTAGATTATCCCACGTTTTACCGTTTAGACTATTCGGACCACAGATTGGTTTGTGCCCGAATGGTGTTAGGTACTAAGCCTAGAATGTCTGGACGCTAGAAGTTCAATCTGTCTTTACTGGACAGGCTGGACTTCCGGCAACAGCTGACTAGATTAGTGCAGCTGAAACTAGTGGGAGCGGTTATTGGGAATAGGTGGTGAGAGAGGCTTAGAACTTCCACCACCAAATATAGCCAACGACTCGCCCTAGATAAGGCTAAAAAGGTGAAGTCTCTTAAGGATAGTCTGTCCTGGGCGGAGGCTGGGGGATTCCCCAGAGATAGGTTTAGCCAGGCAAGCTCTGGAGCGTGATGCTAGCAGGCGATAGCAAGGTCAGGTAGTTAGACATAGGTTAAATAAGATTCTAACGGAGCTGTGAACATGGGCGCAGAATTTCGCAAGCAAGAGATCCGTCGAGGTTCTGATCGTTATATTCAGGAAGTCGATAATCTGCTTGGGCGTGTCCTGAGGTCTACCAAAAACATATGCGAGGCATTTCGGCGGCATTTCGAGAGCCGTTTTACCAAGGAGCTTGGACTCTGTGGCGATGAGTTTCGCAGCTATTTGGCTGACTTTCCTCGGCTTGAGCTGACTGAAGTGGCTAGCTGCGAGAAGGAGATTACAGAGAGTGAAATTCACTTGGCATTGAAGAGAGTCAGCAGTGGCTAGTCTCCGGGACTTGATCGTCTGCTCTACGAATTTGTTCCGATTTTGATTGTTCAACAACTGGTTCCGATAGGGGTCTGTCCACGACCAGATCTCCTCAGGGATGTGATCACGCTGCTCTAAAAGGGAAAGGGTGTTGGGCGAGATTTAGATAATTACAGGTCAGTAACTCTGCTAAACACAGAGTTAAAGTTTTTGGCTTGCGAGGCGGCAGGCCAGCTTTCGTTCGCGGCCGCCGGACGCGCGTTGTGCGCCTTAGCAGTGGTCGGCGTCAAAAGTGAACGACCGAAGTGCCGATTTTCGATTTTTTTGAAAAAATTCAAAAAATAAAATTCGAAAATGAAACTAAACCTATTAATTATTGTTTTTATATCGTTTCTGACTTTGGTTAAGAATAAGTTGGTAGGAAGTTCGAGCGTGTTCGGTTAGCGTCGCGAAGACGGTAATTTACGCCTTACGGCGGCCTAGGCCTTGGGCTTTTGCTGCCTCGCGTGTTATCTTTGCTTTCTCTCGCTTTTGCATCAACTTTCGCTGATCTTAACTTTGCTTTTCTTACCACCGCGATCCTCACCGTCGTCTAAGCCGTTTGCGCTGTCGCCTAGCCGCCGCCGTCGCTTAGCTGCTGCCGCCGTCGCTTAGCTGCTGCCGCCGTCGCTTAGCTGCTGCCGCCGCCGCCGCTTAGCCACCGCCACCACTCAGCCGTCGCCATCGTCGTTTTCGCCTTGGTCGGCATTCCTTCGGAGGAGGAAGCGTATTCGCACAAGCTTCCCAGGAGAAAACGTGAGTTTGTTGGGACCTGAGCTGACTTGTGCTGTGAAGGGCCGAAAAATTCAGAGCAACCTGCATCTGATCCGACCGATCCTAGAGGGTGTAATAGACAACAGATTCAAACCCGACTTCTGCAAGTGGATCAGCCTCCTGTATCGGCTCACTCCTAGTGCTGTGGTAGTGTTGAACGGAAAGCGGTTGCGCGCTTTTGCGCTGTCACGGCCGGTTGTTCTTTGTTACCTCTACTTCACGCATTGGCGTTGGAGCTCCTGCTTTTCCTGGCTAAGGGACAAGGCGTGCAGTTCGGCCCTACGTAAGCTCGTTGTCCCTGGAGCGATGGCGTATCCATTTTCGTGTCGTGCCTCAGAGACATTGAGGTGGTACAGAAGGCACATGACCGTCACTAGGGCGGGGCAAGATTAACCGCAACAAGTCTTGCGGCTTGCAGTTAGGCGCCTGGAAGGGGATTACGCTTCCGGGACACTTTAGTTGGACAGACGGACCTGTCCACATTCTCGGTGTGTGGTTCGGGCCCAGTCTCCAGCTGAAGAAGAATTGGTCTGCAAACAAAATTCAGAGAGGCAGTCCGTAAAGATTAGAGCTGAGACGTCTACCACTTGCATCTTTCCTCTTATCCGTTATCGATTGGCTGTACTTCCTCTCTACAAGGACCGAAAGCAGGCGCTAGAGAGCTTGATGTCCATTCTCTTGTGAGGTGGACAACAAGCCAAAGTTGCGAGTACTTGACAAGGTGTGTTCTTTCGAAAATGCTCAAACCTAGTTTTATGAGCATAAAAATTTGGCCTTATCAATTATAATTGAATAGTGAGTTCGATTCTCACTGGGTACCCATACTTTCGGCCTTGTGTCACATCTAAGGTTTAGAAAATCACCATGACTATTTGGCCTTTATCATGGTCGCTCAAAAAGGATGCTGAGAATAACATGGACAGAGCATGTAAGAAATGAAGTTTTAAAGAAAATGGAAACGAAAGAGACATTTGTACTTTGAATCAGTAAGGGACAAGTAATTTCTGATGAGGAAAGAGAGCTTGGAGAAGGTGAAACTTAAAGGATATATTAAAGGCAAGAAAAGGCTGAAAGTAACAGCAAGTAACATACCTAACAAGCTTGGGTTAAATGGATCACTGACCAGGGTCTGGGAAAGATGCTAAGGAAACAAATATTACTTCTAGCTAGAAAGTTGTAGAGAGTCATGATCGCCGAGGTCTTGAAGGAAAACAACATAGAATAAGACGTTCACTTATCTGCTTAAATGAAGATAAAGCATTTTAGAAGATTCATGATTATTACCAGCTTTACTTTTTCTTCCTTTTGCCAACAATCACACAGGAAAAGGAAAAGTTCAATTTTCACCGGGGAAAAGATCTCTTTGCATTGACATGCAGTATCTATGTTTCTTAAGTAAAAAAAAAAAAATTCCACGTCAAGGTTGACAATGGGAATAACAGCTTTTTGGTTGATCCTACCTGAGCAGATGAGATAGTTATGGGAGAGTGGTTTACGCAAGAGTTCTCATTTATTAACTTTCTTTTCCCTTACACACTGTGGCATACCATTGATACGGCTTTATTTCAAGGTACTTGACAATGGGACAGAGTCCAGGGAGAAGTGAATCCATGCCTTTACCAGGAGTATTAGTGCAAATTGAACAGAAGTCTCAGCCTGAATTTGAACTCGGTTCGCCGGTTCAGTTCTTCCCCACTTCATTAAGAAATTTTAAGTATTCAAATTCAAGTAAAATGCAAGCGACGTAAATTTTGTCCATATTTTTTGCCATGTACGGATATATGCTGGATTCTGTCTAGGTTGACAGTAGATACAACAACCTTTTACAGTTATTGCTCTTTGCAATAATGGGAGAGTGATTTGTCTAAATTCTCACTCATCAAATCTTCCCTCCGTGAATTATAATGACATGTTATAGCCAAAACATATTGAAACACGGCACAGAGATATCTATCAGACTTACGGCCGTATTATGTTGAAACACCGGTTCACGTAGGTCCCCCGAATTTAAGCAACGTCGAGCTTTCTCAGTACCTAGATGGGTGACCGCTTGCGAATACCAGGTACTGTAAGCTTGGATGTACTGGTGGGTATAATGGATAACAGCTCAGAAGTGGGCGTGTTCGAATTCCAGTTGGGAAAGGTATGAATTCACCTCTTCTCCCCAGATATGGGTTAATTAGTAAGAGTTGTATAAGTAAATCATCATTATCTCCAAAAGATTCTTACATTCTAAAGATATTTTCAGGCTTTAAATGACCTGCAAAAGGTTGATATCCCTTAAAAACAAATCAGAGAAATCAAAATATCGGCAAAAATCGAATTGTCGACAAAAGACGATCCATTTGATCATTTTATTCTGATGATAATCTGAACTATTTTTAGCATATATATTGATTGGCTAAGGCGTTGTGCTAATAACATCACGAAAGGTTTCAATTGTTTGAATAAAATTAGAAATATGAATGATTTTTCTTGGAGTTCTAGACGCTACGCTTGAATAAATATTTACATTATTCTTCTTTTATTTGTTGTGTCCCCGATAACAGCTCTCCACAACTTCATTTCCTTTGTCGCTCTTAGCAATGTTTTTTTTTTTTTACTATCCTTCTTAGTCCCTGTTTTCCATCCATTTACACAAGTCCATTAGCTAGTTACTCTCTGTTTCCTTCTAGACTTTAGTATGTCCTGGGAGAGTTAAATTCTCAGCACCCTCCTGTAGAACCACATTTCTATTGCTTCAAGTCTCCACTTATTTGTGAGGAAATTGTCCAGCATCTACTGCTATATAGAAAGATTAATGTTACATAGAAGTTTTTTTTTCTTTTTTTATTACGAAAATGTCCCGTTTCTTAAGGGTTTGTCTAGCTTTTGGAAGGCTTTCTCAAATCAATGACTAAAAATGGCTTTGAGTTAACATCTTTTTTGAAACCTCGTGGACAGGCGCTATAGAATCACAAAGAAAGAACAGTACCAAATAGAAGAAACCACGCCAGAAGAACTTCAAACAGCATGAACAACTAAAATGAATAACACATGTAATTCGAAAGATGACATGATTAAGATGTTGACGCCCAACACTACTCAAAAGAATAGTTTAGGAAGGAAGCTCCCATCAATACTGGAAAGAGCAATAACAATACCTGAACTTGAGTAACATATATTTCCTGAAAAACCTATTTCTTTTTTTAATGGATTTTATAAATTTCAATCAAAAGTATCACCGGCTGCTCGGTTAATGAATGCTGAATATTTCCTTGTAAGAAAACGGTTAATATTACCATTCGTTATCCCAGTGCACCTTTTTGTGTCACATATTCCGTCGTCTGTTAAAACACTTTTCAGATATTTAAATTTCTGTACTTGCTTGATTTTGACGTCTCCAACTCATAGCTGGCATCTTGGTCTGTCTCTTTTGCTGACTACCATACATTCTTCTTACAATTGATAGTCCTTTATTGCTGTTTTGTTTTGCTTCCTTATATTGGATTTCCTGCAGTTTTCTTTCTGTGTCTGCAATCAGTACGGTGTCATCTTCGTATCTTATATTAGTAAGTCTGTTTTCACCTATAATAAATCCTGGTTAAATAAATCCGACGTGTTTGTTGAAAACGTTTTCTTAAATTTTGAAGATTACTGGGTAGTTAAAAATATATTTTTAAAAAAGCGTTCACATTGTATGCTTCAAGGAATTTCTTCAGTTTTGTCCCCCTTATTTAAATTTCCCAAGCATCGGGCTGTCAGTAAATCACACAACACTTCATCAAAAGATGCTTTTCTGTGATATTTTAAACTAAAAGTAATATTTGTTTTAATTCAGATTAATTAAACTTTAAATCAGCCAATTTCCCTCAAATATCGTGTCAGAAAAATGCATTTTATTTTTGAAAGTTTTTTTTTAATAAAGAGAATTATTTTATGTTGACGGATCTGTCAATATGGACGATTTTAGTGATAAGCAGATAAAGATTCCGATCAATTTAAATTCGGTTTGAAATATGCCAAAGTATTTTTGCCTATTGGGAGTGTTAAATTTAATTTATTAACTTGAAATTTTAATTTATTAGTTTGAAATTAAAATTAAAGCTTCAAGAAAAAATTTTCATTTTTTAAAAAATTCATTTGAAACTTAGGCAACGCTTATTTTGAAGGTAACTACATTTACTGAACAAGAGTGCAAGATCACTCCAAGAGGTTTACTTTCATTTCAAACGAGTTATGAGATCCGCATATTAATAATTGAACACTAAGATTGATTCAAAGTAATGATTTAATGAATATTTATTGAAGGAAAATATTTGTATTTTTAAAATTTTTTTTTAATGATAGATTATTTTTTTGTGGGGATGATTAGTATATACGATGTTTCAGGGACAGGGTAAGGGTCTCTTGTCCCCATCCGAATCTATGATACCCCACCCCGAATCTTTGAGACAGCCCTTCCACTCTACTACATCTCAATTTTCATATTCATATAAAATACAAATTTTATTGTAACCTAATTATGTAAAATAATAGATCATGTGCAATATAGGTGAACAATTCAACTAGAAAATTGAAAATAAATACAATGTATCTTAATACAAATTAGATACATGCATTGACAGATCATTCCATCTTAAATAAATCAACAATGTTTTGCGGCAATTTTTAACATGAACTTGTGATTTTTCTTGCTAAAACTTGAAGAATTTTAACATATTAAGCATTATATATAAAAAATAGTTTATTTTATGTAGTGTTTTTAGAGACTTGGCATGAGCGAAACAAATTGACGGACTGAACTAATAAAAAAAGATCCACTGAATGACGTCAAAATACACGAAAACATTTCATTCTTTAATAGTAAGTTGGCGCTTAGTTTAATTTGTAATGTATATGAATGTAAGTAGAAAACATCAAATTGGGGAGCTCAGGAGTAGTACGTACCTGCCCTTGTTTAGTTTTGCTGCTTGTACTAAAACCTCAACATTCTGTTGCTTTTACTAAATACGAACGTCTCTTCCCAGGTTAGTGATTTAAATAATCTTATCCAGTCAAAGTCAATGACTTCAAATTATTCAATCACTTCAAAAGCACAAGTTTTAATTTTTTTCAGTCAGATATCTTCCTTAGCTCCACATATATGTTTAAAGTGTACACACACATACATATATATTTGACGCGTCAGACAGAAATAAATGTATGTTGATGCAATATATATATATATATATATATATATATATATATATATATATATATATATATATATATAACGCAGAATACGTTTTGCAGGACGCTGCTGGCGAGCAAAACAAGAACTTGCGAGTGATCTACTTCCCTGGAGACGTAGCCATGTTACAAGATGGGTAGGTCGCCAAGCAACCACCTATATTGACCTACTATGTTATGACACAGAATATTCCCCGAATGACCTTCCCAACTTTATGCAAGACCATGATGGTTGGCGTGATTGACTCACGAATGTCCAAGCTAGCTTTATCAAATGCAAATAAATAAAAGCAAATTCTGTCTGTCTGTCCGTGTGTCTAAAAACCCTTTAACTCTGGCCACATTTGCTCTACATAAACATATTATACCTTTTTGGAATAAGGATGATCCCGGGATTGAATATCTGCTCTTCATCTGATGCTTGGACATACAACATACATATTTGTGTTTGGATGACGAGGGAACTGTTAAAAATTCAAATTTTAAAATAACTGAAAAAAATTAGAGATTTTTAAGTTTTAAAATTATATTGAGTTTAAAGTAACACAAAAATTTTGAATTTAAAAATTTCTGTTTTCAATTCAGTTTAAATTATCTTCAAAACTTTGTGAATTGAGGAAATCAATTTTATTTCTTTAAAATACCAAGGAACATGAATTAAAGTGAGAGGTTTCGTGATATGAGTTCGGCAGAGTTTGTGATTTGAAGAACTTAACTCAATTCAAGTTCCACGGAGTTTGTGATCTGAAGAACTCAATTTTCAGCCTTAATTGGAATTTCGGTCCAAATCGGAGATTCGGTCTTTTGCTCGGAATTGCCCTTATAACACGAATCAGAGTTAAAGCGAGGTTTTGAAGCTCCATGGAGTGAATTGAGGAATTCAAAGTTATTTCTACAAAATTATCATTACTGTTTTCTAAGCTGGACCAGAGGTTCCTTTAGTTTTAGGCTGAAGGCCCAATTAGCCATACGTAGGGGCTAAATTATTCCACACGGGGCGCGGCTTTTAAGCTTGTACTTAAATGTATAGCGACAAACCTTATTTTTTAACACCAGTTTACTTTGAATAAAATCCAGTAACCATCTTTCGTGTGACACGTCAACAGAAAAGCTACATATTTATTTTTTATATTTGTATGATTTTGCGTGTTTTCCAAACAAAACTTTTCAATAAAAGTATCTGCCTTCTGATAAGCTATGGCGTCATTGAGGAAAATCCTTGTCGGCGTCAACATGTCTTTCACATAGTGCCAATGTTCGTACTTTTATACATGCGCTAACAATTAAGCTGTCAGAACGGGTTTATGTGCCAGACAGTCTGATCTGTTGAGTTACAACCTCCCCATCACCCTGTACCAATCCACTGTTCGTTATCTTACATCGTCATCGTAGTTAGGAGCTGTTTAAAGATTTAGAAGTGTTAATTTTGTTTTGACTCTTCAGAGCGCAATAGAAAAAAACAGACTTTTCGAACTTTTTTTTTGTATCTATAGAGAAGTAAGTCTGATTCATGCCAAGGACTCCATATATTATAATGAAACGCTATATAATACAAAATTTGCGAAAAACCAATGCAATACTTTTTTAAGCAAGCGTTAATAGCGTCAACGCGGATAGTCTAATAGATATCAGCGCGGAAAGTTGAATCGGCGAGCCGAGTTCAATATTCCGATCTAGCCCGTTGAGTTTTCTTTTGCACAAGTGCCTGCGCGGTGTTGTGGGTGAGGAATTATTTTCCGCCCTACAACCCCTTTCTTACAGGCGAAACGCTGCGGGCCTCTAGCTGCTCTATTGCTATTTCGATGGCATGTGTTCTGACGAGTTAAATTCCTGAGTCCCACCACCCCTGACCTTTACCACTG